AAGGAAACCTATAAATTTCAACTGTCTCCCACAGAACACTCTAACAAGCTTCTGCTTGAATACCTCTAGTGATAAGGCATCCATTATCTTGTTAGAGGACTTTCATACTGTAAGAAAATATGGTCCATCTAACTTTTACTACTTGATTATAGTTTGTCTACTACATTCATACATATTAAATTCAACCATAATTTTATATGGCATCCTTAAAAATAAGATAGTCACTCGATTCCTCTATAAAACTTATCTAAATTTAAAATTATTGCTTTTAATTCCCTACCCTATAATTGTTTTCTAAATTAATATTGCATTGCGTCAAAGCTTTCCCTAAAATAATTAATCTAGCACTGCACATAATATTTTTTAAAGTATGTGATAGGAACAGAGTAGATTTTCTACTTACTGTACTTCTGTTGATGAACTCATGTTTGCACTATTTTTCCTGTGTCTCCTCTCTCCCCCTCCTTTCTCCTCCACTTCCCTTCCCTTCCTCCCCTCTGATCCTCTCCTCTCTCCTCTCCTTTTCTCCTTTTCTTCTTCTTCCTCTCCTTCCTGTTTGTTTTCTTTATCAACAGTCATATGAATAGTCTTAATTTTCATTGCATTTGTAATCTGAGAGATTTGGTATTTAAAAAGACAGGCTCTGGGCATAGAACACATGGATTTGAATCTTGAATCAGCACCTATCAGCCAGCAAGATGATAAGTTTCTAAAACTCTGTGCCTATTTTTCCATCTGTAAAATAGGGAGAATAATAATATTTAGGCTATATCCTCCCTTCATGCTTGATTGGTAATTTGACTAAGTGTAACCTTCTAGGCTGAATTCTAGTCTTCAGAATTTTTGAGGCATTTTCCTTATAGTGTTCTGGTATTGTTGATGGGAAATCTCGGGGCTCTCTGCTTCTTGTTCCTTGATTATGATCCATTCCATCAGCATTTTCTGTCCTTAAAAGCTTAGACCCCTCTGTTTATCTTTAGAGTTCTGAAGGTGTAGTTCCTTTTCTTCTGATGAACACCATAAGTCTAGGTCTTAGCAGTAAATAACTGTAAGCTCCAAAGGGGTAGCTTATATCTGCTGTATCCACTTAGAGATACTCAGATATGCCCTACTCACCACTGCAAGCCGAGTAAATTGTAGTTGTACAGCACACAGCAGGCATTCAGTAAATATTTGCTGAACAAATAAAAGATCGATCTCCCCCAAATCTAAAAATATTTCATAACACATAAGAATCCAAGGATTTTACTCGATTGCATTGAAAACAACTTTAACTAGGATACATCATACTGGAATCAATGTGGCTCCACAAAATGTCTGTTATTTCTTTCTTTCAGATAAAATTGTAAGTGCTAGATTCTTTGCACAGATTTTCTTTCTTCATCTTGAGACAACCTGGAAATAGAGATGACTTTTTCACTTTTTCCAAATGAAGACTGTCTGCCTTAAAGATTTGTCTGAAATCACCTGAATGGGAAATGGTGGGGCTGAAACTAGAACGTAGATCTGAAAGCAAAGTCTGAGATTCTCACTCAGGGTTCTGCCCGTTGTGAATTTTTCTCCTGAAGCTCACTCTTCCCCTTGCCCTCATGGAAACCATTTATCATATTTCGATAATCATTTTTCTCGGTATCTCCAGAGCCATTTTTCAGCTTTCAATCCTACCTTGTCTTCCTACCTTTGGGTCTCCACCTTCATTATAGTTTCCTTAAAGTTGATTAATCTCTTTAATATTGGAAGGAAATATCAACATTTTCTTTTGTTGCTTAGCCAAAGTATGCCTCATAGTATAGAATGGAAGAAAGATATGGCTTGTTTGGGTAACCTAAGACTCTCTACAAAGGAGTTTTATAAATTAGGATATCTGCATTTTAGCTTCAAAATAATTTTTTCCTCTCAGTCTTTTGTATGTTTAATTATCATGGAACATCATTAGTCAGTGAGTTTGATCTCAAGTTTTCATGATTACCATCAGTGTTTTATCAGAAAATTAAGCCAAAAATCCAGAAACCTAAAAAATCATTAGTTCACTACCATTCCCACAAAATAGATTACTGAAATTACTTGAAAATCATGTCTTTTAAAGAGCTAATGCATTTGCACATTTTCACTTGGGCAATTGAATGCCACTTGTATGATTATTGATTCATATAAATGGTCTTTTTTTTAAAAAAAGTTATTTTCCTTGACCTATCTCAAAACAACATTTGGTTCAAGCTTATTGTAGGTTACTTTTTTTTTTCATTTACTTATATATATATATATATTTTTTTTTAATAATTAATCAGTATTTTTATTATGGTTTTGTGGGGTACAGTTAAGGGTTAGGTGTACAATTACGTTTCATTCAGACACCCTGTTGATAAGAGGTGTTTTCCCAGCCCCAGACAGATATTTGCTACTGTTAATCCCATCCCCCTCCCGTAGGTTACTTTTTAAAGCAACTAAAACCTCAGAGCACTTAGCACTTTTAAAATTCTTATTCAAAACTTGGTTATAATTATTTTTTCAACATAGCAAAGAAGTCAAATCAAACTGAAGAGATTTTAACCAACTTGTGAAGATTCCATAGAGTATCCTAGAGAATGAAACACAAAAGCCACACTACAGCTTTTAGTTACAAAATGACAGGTTTTTGGAGTTCAGCAATATAAAAATCAATACAATGTCTCTCCTTTATGCTCCTGATGAAAACTAATGAGGAAATAAGGCATTGCCTCTGATTAGCTATAAGAAACAATAGCTTTCAATTTGGTAAATCTTCAAACAGATGACTTTGAAGATGTAGTTTAGAAACCAATATAAAACATCAAAATTCTTACAAACAGAACCATCTGTGGCTAGTTTTGGAAAGCTATTTCAAAAGAAGTAAAAAGGGAGATGGAAATATGATAGTACAAGGTTTGTAAATGTTGACATCAATTATCTCCAACTTAATTAAAGGGATGAAAAGTTTACTACAACAGTAGCTACTTTCAAAAGTGAAGACATGAATTCTCATAAATGAGGCCCAAAGATCAAATTATAACAATAACATATAGATTTGATTTTTAATATGTATTTATTCACTGGTCAGAATAATTCAGATTATCTATCACTGTTGTAAATTAAGTATTTATTAATTTTAACCATATAACACCTATCTTGCTTACTCATACATATGATAAAAACGTACATGACATTAACATGTAAAATTTCTTTCTTGAAAACTAAGAAAAACCAGAGAAGCAATCATTGATTTATTTTGTGTTTCAGTTCAAATCTTAGATGTATTGAATTCAAAAACTCAAAGAAAGTATAAATGATCTATTAGTATCTTTCATGCCTTAGATGAAGATACCGTGTTCAGGGAAGTTAAGGACCCTTGACACAGGAGACCATATCTCACACTGCTAAGTTGTTCTCTATTCACAACACACATCTCTTTATCTCTGAGAGCTTAACAAGACTTCTGAAGCCAGTTGCAATGACCATAAGTACAAATATCTTCAAAAAGAAAACATTGTTTATTAAAAACAAAACATTTCTTTGGATAGACAATATGCTCATCACTAAGCAGCTTTCCTATTTGGTTAAAAGGGCAACGTGCACTTTTAAAGATAAGAGTACACAGGTTTTTATTTCAGACAACCACTGGGTATACCTGTTTTTACTTTTGTAATATTGTAAATGTATGTGTTCTACCTAAGTATCTTAAATAAAATGTTATGATATATATAAAGAAATAAGCCACTATGGCACAACATATATAAAACACAATTCACTCAGTAGTATGTTGTCTATACAGAACATTAAAGATTCTAAAGAAAAAGGGTAAATAACCTCACGTTGTAATACTAAAAAGAAGCCTTCAGTGCCCCTAAATTTTCAGCAAGTCTAATATTACTTAGCATACTTTAATTCAACCTCTGTTTTCTGAGAGAAAGCATAGTTATTCTATCTTATGGTAATGGCAGAAAATATTCACTCTAGCTTTATACTAAAATTTATACTAATAATTATTTTTATCAATGATACAAGCAGTTATACAGGCATGTTTATATCTTCATAGTGAATGTACTTTACTCTCGAGTTTTATACAGGATTATATAATACAATAATACATTTACTTGAAAGAAGAAACATGAATAGTGTGTTCCAGACCTTCATAGTGTCTATGTCTTAAACAATATATTTTAACTTTATTTACCTACCTCTCCTACATACAATCCAGGTCTGCTACCTGAGCATTTTATTTTTCTGCCAGAATGATGTCAAACTTTTATTGAAGGGTATTTTAGTCCAGTCTTGTTCCTGTTAAATTGGAGGCTTGTGATTGGCAATATCACACACACACACACACACACACACACACACACACACACAGAGCCAAGACATTCATTTCCCCATACATTTTTAAATTTTCTAATGGACAGTCAATTAAAATGAAAGCTCCTCAAAGCCAGTTCAAATAAAATATACGTGGTTTTTTTTACTTAAGTATTATACACTTTCATTGCTGATAGATTTTTTTAGCCAGATTTATAATATTTATGTAAACATTGGTTACTTTCAGAAAATTACCAAAAAGGAAAAGGAAAAAACAAGCAATATTATATACAAAAAAGCATCATACACACCATGCTGCGTAACAACAAGTTTCTGAGATAACTTTGTCTTCAAAATGCAGACTCATTCAGAAAGTTCCTCAGTCCTATTCATTCATTGCATTCAGTAGCAAAGTCATCTCCTCTCCTCCCACCCTCTCAGTCACTGAACCTTTACTAGTTTATACTCTGCTTGAAGTCAAAGACAACGGAACTAACCTCCCTGCTTCAGAAATAGGTAAATTTCCTTCTATCTGAGAGTGAATAGATCTCATCAGAAAATAAGATGACTGTAAGCATCGCACAGGTGTTGGGGATGCAAATTACCGAACTTAGAATAGTCTTCAAAAGAAAGGGAAAGAAGGGGGAAGGGGCACACATCAAAGAATAGTTTTGAGTCGTTGAAATACTCACCAGTTTCCCAGATGCAAGATCAGGAGCAAGAACAGCAACCTCACTCCTCTACTTTGGCTCCACAGGAGGAAAGGGGAGAAGAGGAAAGCTTTCCAAGAATCCATCGGGATCGCTTTTCCTACGTGCGGTACTAGCTCCATCCAAGACAAGACTTTTCCTCCCACCTCAGCAGCAGCCGAGTTAGGGTGAGTAGAAAAGGGAGTGTGGACGGCAATACACCTCCCGACCAGGTAGGATGCGACTCCCAGCGGAATAGAGCAGGGAGCCAATCAGACCGAGAGGACGCAGGCATAAATTATCTTAAAAAGAGTTGGGCCAATCAGTGGTCTAGGGGGCGGGGCCTCCTCTACTAGATATTGAGCCCAGTAGGGAAAAGGGCTCCGTTTTTCTAAAAGAAAAACAAACCTCTTCGCTTCCGCAGCTTGGCAGTCGTGGGGAAACCTTTGAGTGACTTTGACAGATTCTCTCCCCAGGAAAGGCTGCCTTTCTTCCCCTCCCCCTCAACCCTCTCCTCCATCCCCGCTTTTCCTTTGGTCTGAGTCTTCCTCCGGGGCCCTTGCCTCTCCCGCTTTGGAATTCTGACTCCAAGACATTCAGGTAGCAGTGTCTCGTTGGTTCTCCCAGCTTCGGGAGAATTCTATTAATATTTGTTAATGATCGTTGTTAACGTTGAGCGCGAGCGGTGTCTTACTCCTCTTTGCAGACCCAGCGCCTGGCACGAAGCTCCGCACACAGAAACCCTCGGGATGGGATGAATATATCATCGAATGAGCGAATGAGCAGGCTCCGTGCATTCCCAGTTACCACGTTTGCTACACCCCTCCCAGCCCCTTTTACCACCTTCGTAGGGACAGAATGTGCTGCCTTTTTCTCCCGCCAGGCGCCCCAAAATGACACTAATGAACCATGACGGGCGACAGCTACCTCATTTTACAAACACAGAAACAAGCCTTTTGTTTTGTTTTGTTTTGTTTTTCTTAGGTCGTCTTAACCTTAGAGCTGGAGACCGAGGAAACGGGTGATCCTGGTTCCCTTCCGCTCTCCGGCGGCCTTTGCCTGTATGAAGCCCCAGTGCTCGGTATCTAACTTCAGAGGCGCCACTCCGAGTTCGCGGCCGAGCCCGACCGTTGCCATGACAACCGGAAAGCCTCCGGCAGCGGGAGCAACCGCACGGGCAAAGGCGCCGGCGGTAGTGGGTGCCGGCGCGCCCTGCCCAGCCATCTTCCGCCTGAAGACACGCTCCTCTCGGAAGCCGCCGAGCGTGGTGGTCTTTGGCCGTCGTTCTTCGCCCCACAACCCCCTGGAACTGGCCTGATTCCGGGCTGAACTGCCCTTTACCGCCTCGCGAATCCCTGAGCGTGTGTCTCCCGCAAACAGTTCAAACCAGAAGGCACAGTGTTTGTGCGTGGCGGTAAGAGAACCGTGGTTGCGTTACCGCCTGAAATCACTTAAAGAAACTGTATGGAGTAAATAAACAAGGTTACAGTTGTTGTTGTTTTTCCTCGCCCGAAGTAAACAAATGGTGCAGTGCTGGGCTTTTCTCCCCTCCCTTTGATCGATTCTCCATCCTTTTAGTTTCCTTTAAAAACACATATGGACCCTCGTTGGTTTTCTTCTTTCACCACATGTTAATTAAGCGGCGTTTTTCTCTTTCACAGTGCATGTTAGTCAAGGTAGTCCATGCCCAATAATTTATATAACAATAAAATTTCATGATAATAAACTTTGAGGCGAGTAAATTTAGGTCAAATGTAATATCAATATAAATCCAAGATGTTGGTTTTTCTGTTTCAATTAATTACATGCTTTGGATGGCTATTGAACTGTTTCGTTGAATGCACACGCTAATTCACTGATCTGATTAGCCAGTACACTAGGAATTAATTCACTAGAAATATCTTGTGAATAACAAATACTAGTCTGGTTACCTCTTGCATTTTGTTAAGATTAGGTAAGGTTTCCATGCATTAATGTGAGTATGACGTTGTATGCAACAGTAGTTGATAGTCCCCCCATCAATAATTCTCAACAAGGCTTTACTCTTATTTTTTGCATAAGTCACTGAAAGATACCGAAAGCAGTTAAAAGAAATTGGTGAAGAAGAACGGTGAAGATGTATCCTTGAGTAGTAACAAGTTGCCTATTTATTCTGGTAAAAGGTTTTTGAAAACTGAAATAAGAGGAAATTTTCTGTACTTTCCAAAATCTAGGTTTTTGCAAATTTTTTTGCTGAAATATTTTCCAACTTGTTTCATGGATTTATTTTAAGTACTTTGTATCTATTTCTGTCTCTTAGCTTGATATATATTTTTCTTTTCTTGTGATATATGTCTTATGGAAAACTGATCCTATTCTGTCATCATTAATTATAATTTCCTGTAAACTGTGTAAAAGCGATCTGAACCCTCTGAACCACCCCCCAAAAAAGGAGTGATGGTTTTGGATATCAGCCAAGTGTTGACCCTGACAGTCTGCCTCATTCGATTTGGTAAACTAACTGTATGTGTGTGGGGGAGGCGAGTGGGAGAAGACATGTACTGAAGGTTCTGAATAAAGCAAACAAATTACATTGCATTCATCAAACCAACCAATGTGTTGCAGGGGCACACTCGTGGGGAAATCGATCAGGCATCTTGCAGAATTCTTGGTTAGAAGACCAGAAGTCACTATTGGTGAGGAACGGGAGAAAGCTCTCTGTCTTCCATTATGACAGTGGTTTTCAACTGGAGGCGATTTGGCCTCATGGGACTTTTTATCAATGTCTTGAAGATATTTTCAATTGTCACAACCTGGTGGATGGAGTGAGCTACTGGTATCTAGTGGGTAGAGGCTAAGGTTGCTGCTACAACCTTGCATTCTAAAATGCAAAACAGGCTAAGGTTGCTGCTGCCACCTTGCATTCTAAAATGCAAAAGAAAGACTTCCCATAACAAAGAATTATAGAACTTAAACTGACAAGGATGCCTAGACTGAAAAACCCTGCTATATGGTTGAAGAGGATGGGTAACCAGACTCCACTGCAGCTGATGATGTCTTTATACTTGCATTGAAGTCACCAATCCCTCCTTCTTCTTCTGACTGGCTGAACTGCAATCATTATTCACCAGTCTTATATCTACTTATAATGACTATCAACACATAGTGTGCAGTCATTTTCTTTTTTTCTTCAAAATTTGTACAGGGATCACCTTAGAATAGAATGCTTAGTTCATAAACTTCACCATGAATTAGAATTTTTAGTAAGAACCTCTGGAGATTTTCATGAATCAGAGTTTGAGAACCATCGTCCTACCATCATCTCACAAAACGACCAGTGAGGTAAAGGGCTGATCACATATATGGAATCCTGATCCTGGCAAGCAGAATTTCAGCATGATTTTCCTGTCCGTTGTTAATTAATTCATTCAAAACTATTTACTAAGAAACTGTGGTGTTGGGTACTATGCCCAGCATTAGGAATTCAGTGATGAAACAAGATTCACTGTCTTGGTTTATTTATCTATATACTTTTTTAAAGGATAAGAATTCTACTTAGTCTACAGAGTTTTCTTAAGGATTAATACATTGAGGAGAATCACTTGAAGTAGTGCCTAGCTAGTCAAAATTACTCAAAAATATTAGTTATTATTATATCATTGAGGGTATGTTTCACATCTAATTCTTCACATAGCCTCTAGCACAGTACCTGATACAGAACAGTTCATCTGTAAAAAGTACATTCTAATAGGAAGAGTGGAGAAGCTTGGCAGATACCAATGTGCCCATCCTACCCTCAACAATATTATCTTGATATCTGGTTTCTCCAGAGCAAGGGGACATTTTGAGTCACGTTGCACTTCTCTTGAAACATTTTTCTTCTTAAGACCAAAAACCTATATTTCAGTCAAGACATCACTTTCAAATTCCTAAGCTTATTCCTCAAAATCATTCTTTTTTTTTTTTTTTGTCACATACTATTCCCTGCGTCTAAGAGATCCTTACCTCTTCATCATTTACTTAATCCCTTTTATTCTCTCAAATTAAGTTGAGGGATCATTTTTTTCAAAGAAGTCATTATTGATTACTCACTGCATACTAGTCTGGTTTACAGAGCTGTCCTATGATAATAGTTAATATTTTTTGAGCACTGTGTTACCAGGCATGTTCTGAATAGTTTTATATTTTGGGTGTACATAATCATTTGTTCTCCCAAAACAATCATTTTATATCTAAATCCTAGAACACATTGTTACATTTTTAGAAACAATCTGTAATTCTACCCAAACTGCCAGTTCTGTGTTTAAATTTCATATACTCAGGATTGATAGTGTTTATGAGATCTGATATCATATTATATCATATTATGTGTTAAATGTCATGTGCATATTTGATGAGTACCATTCTCCACCATAGAATGTAGCTCCAAGAAGGTGGGAACTTCATTTGTTAGCCTCACCTCTGTATTCCTTTTGTAAAGCAGTGGCTAGTAGGTAATAGTCAATACATATTTGTAGAATAAATATGCACTCAATGTATTATTGAATAAACAAGCAAATGAATGACTTTTATTCTTTTTTTTTTTTTTGAGTTGGAGTTTCACTCTGTCACCCAGACTGGAGTGCAGTGGCCGCTCCCAGCCACCACAGCCTCTACCTGCTGGGGTCCGGCGATCCTTCCGCCTCAGCCTTCCAAGTAGCTGGAACTACAGGCGCGCGCTACCACGCGTGGCTCATTTTGATTTATTGTAGAGATGAGGTCTCGCCAAGTTGCCCAGGCGGGTCTTGAACCCGCATGCTCAGGCAATCCATTCACTTCAGCCTCCCAAAGGTGCAGGATTACAGGCTGAGCCACCGAGCCCGGCTGACTTTTATTCTTTTATGTATTTCTGAATCCATGTATTTCTGTTCCTCAGCATGGGTCTCAAGTATCTATCTTCTAAGGAGACAAATTCCTGAACTTGGTGCTTAACTTATTCTTTCCCAGCAGACCATAAGGATCAGTCATGTTTCTAATTGACAGGTTGTCAAGATAAAATTAAACAAACAGCCACTTCAGTTATGTAATCAGAAAATTTTTTAAATCAAAGAGAGGCAAGGGCCAGCACAAAGAGATTTCAAAAGACTAAAAGCATGCATCCTTTCTCTATCAATATGCTTGATCTTCTTAATCCTGTACTTGGCCTCCAAAGGGCAGCCAAGATAGGGAGTCAAGAAGCTAGCCTTGATGTCAGGGAACAATGAATCTATGGCTTCTAACATTAAAGTCATCCCATTTTATTTGCTTTT